TACAAATTTTTCGCAAGTATTATTTCTACATATGTATATGTAAGCACATCCAGTGCCGGCCATTTGAATAGCGCCCCCTTTTGTTTCTCAGTATTTACAATCTTCCTTTTGTTTATTTAAAATTTATTAGCTATTTATAAAAATACAGAAACAAGTATATCCGATTCTCCAACATTTGAAAAAACATTCGAATTTTTTGAGTATTCAAATGGGCTTCAATATATGCATAACAAACATGGTGCACGATGTGCATATAAAAAAAAAATAGGCGAACATACTTTGTATAGAAGAAAATGCGTAACTCCTTCAACCAAACAATTTAAAAATGTTTGAAATTTTTATGAAAATTTGTTCAATTTTTATGAATTTTGTATAGTTTTAAAATTGGATTTACATGAGTTTTGTTATAGAATATGCTATATGTATTTTCAAAAAAGCAATATAAACAAGAGAAAAACTGAGGATCAAAAGGGGGCGCTATTAAAGTGGCCGGCACTGTATATGGAGGTATAGAACGACATCCGCTGTTCATTACTAATGTTGCCAAGTGCTGCGATTGACATCGCCAAAGAACGGCGATTGGTAAAAATACATTTTTATCGAGCCCCTACAGGCCACTCATATACTTATTGTGATTCATAACTAGCGCGATCCTATTATTGTTTTTATTTTTTCTTTTTATGACCAACGCCTTTGTGTGAGCATTTGAACAATTCCAAAACGCTACTGTTAGTAACCCGATAAGGGAGTTCAAAGCCGATGCACATATTTATACATACATACATATGTATGTATAATAGAAAGTGCTTATTGCATGTAAGCGTGTACACATGTGATTATGGATGCACCCTAACGGAAAATCAAGTGCTTTTTTGAACTTAAAGCTGTAATGAGTTTTTCCGGAGACGCCTTATACCAATTTAGATAGAAAGGTTGGCCTTGCACAACTCCACTTAGCTGGAGTAAGTAATTGGAGATTTAAAGCCTTAACTAGAGTTTGTGATATCAACGGTCGAAGGTTTACGATAAACTTTTTATCGGTGCTCCAAAAAAAAGTCATGAAATACACCCGAAACAAAACTAGTGTAGGTTGTAGCTATGGTCAAGTATAGCATAAAAATAGGTTTCGTATAGTTCCTGAGCCGCCAGTTTTTATTTCATTTATAAACAACCGTTATGTTCATACTTGGCGCTCTTATCTGTTAACAGCTTGGACTAATTTTGATCCGATTTTAAAATCCACAATTATTTTGAATCTGAAAAATGTTTCATTTAATTTGAAAACGTATTCATTTAATTTGAAAACGGTTTCACTTAATATGAAAATGGTTTCATTTAAACTGAAAATGCTATATTAAATTTTAATAAGCCCCTATTTTTCTTAATATTTTTTTTTTTTAACTTAGACCATCGCTAATTTCAAACATTTTTAAAGAACATTTAATTTTGAATAATTTGCTACCAGATTTTTTGAGCAGTGTGGCTAAGTTCATCAACATTTACTCAAAATTTATATATACAATTGCTCTTAAGCAAAAAATTTATTTTTCATGAAATATTAGGCAATGGGAGTGGCACCGCCACTGACAAAAAACACGCTCTCCAGCTAGCTATATTTTAGGCGGAGGAGGTTTTGTCCGATTTCAAAAATATTCAAGCAGTTGATATACAAGTGCATCACGTACGAACATAACGGTTGTTTTTAAGTAAAATAAAAATGGAGGGTTCAGGAACTATACGGAACCTATTTTTATGTTGTACTCGACCATAGCGACAACCTACACTAGGTTTTGTTTAGGGTGTATTCCATGACTTTTTGTTAGCACGTGTTATTAATTCAAACCGATAATTTATACATGTATTTTCCCTAGCACAAAACTTCCCAGCAGGGTAGGATCAATTTTGGGATTATAAGAATGCGCGTATGTGTTTACAGTTATTACTTTATTGCATAAATGTGACGACAACGACGGGGTATAGAGAAATGTTGCGGGTATGCTCCCTTAGCTAATGACTATAAAGTCTTTTCTTGATAACAGGAGGTTGTTAATTATTTGAATTTCGATAGAAAAAACCGTTTACTGTATAATAAATAGTTGCTTTTGTAACAGCAACGACTAAACTTGATTGAATTTCCTATAAAGCAAATGTAAACCTGCTTATTTAGACTATCTTGTTGTGAACTTATGAAAGAAAATTAAAGAGCTTTCGAAAATGCTGCTGAAGTTACAGTCGTTCGTCAAATATACTACATATATCTGCGCAGTTGCAATTCCGTCGACCCACGACTGTCCTAAAAAGGCACATCGTATTTTTTTATTTAATGAAACATAGTGATTCCGTTAAATTTCTTTTTTTTTTTTAATTATTTCAACATCACAATGTATTCACTCATTCCTACGTACTATTACGCTTTGTTGGTGTTATTTGTATGATAATATACAATAAGTAGTTAAGTGCAGCAGATGGTTTGTGTGGCGACAAAGCAAATACCCAGGTGTTTTCATACAGCAATAGTAGCGGTATGATTTTTCGCCTATTTTATAATTCATTCCGTTATATATGTATGTATAAACTAG